AAAAAAAGAAAAAAAAAAAAAAAAAAAAAAAAAAAAAAAAAAAAACTCAAAAAAACAAACAAAAAAAAAACAAATAAAGCCATGCCAATCTCATCGTTTTTTGCGCGTTAGGTTTTGTCGAGAAAGGGTGTAACCAACTAGTAACAGTCCGCCTAGAAGCATTTGCGGTGGACGATGGAGGGGCCGGACTCGTCGTACTCCTGCTTGCTGATCCACATCTGCTGGAAGGTGGACAGGGAGGCTAGGATGGAGCCGCCGATCCACACAGAGTACTTGCGCTCAGGGGGCGCAATGATCTGGGGAGAGAAATGGACAGTTAGCTTAAGGACCCAGGACCCAGTATGGCAACCACAGGGGCCATTCCACCAAGGCCACACTGTGACATTCCACGTGACCAGGCCAGCTTGGGCCGGGGAGACCCTCACCTTGATCTTCATTGTGCTGGGAGCCAGGGCAGTGATTTCCTTCTGCATCCTGTCGGCAATGCCTGGGTACATGGTGGTCCCACCGGACAGCACTGTGTTGGCATAGAGGTCCTTACGGATGTCAACATCACACTTCATGATGGAGTTAAAGGTAGTTTCGTGGATGCCACAGGATTCCATACCTGAAGGGAAAGCCGGACTTAGCTTCCAGTGTAGCCACAAGGGTGACCTGAATGTAGTGTGGGGCAGGGACAAAGAAGCCTTACTCACCCAGGAAGGAGGGCTGGAAAAGGGCCTCAGGGCAGCGGAACCGCTCGTTGCCAATAGTGATGACCTGCCCATCGGGCAGCTCGTAGCTCTTCTCCAGGGAGGAGCTGGAGGCTGCAGTGGCCATCTCCTGCTCGAAGTCCAGGGCGACATAGCACAGCTTTTCCTTGATGTCACGCACAATTTCCCGCTCAGCTGTGGTGGTGAAGCTGTAGCCACGCTCCGTAAGGATCTTCATGAGGTAGTCTGTCAGGTCCCGGCCAGCCAGGTCCAGACGCAGGATGGCATGGGGGAGGGCGTATCCCTCATAGATGGGCACAGTGTGGGTGACCCCGTCACCGGAGTCCATCACAATGCCAGTGGTACGGCCAGAGGCGTACAAGGACAGCACAGCCTGGATGGCCACATACATGGCGGGGGTGTTGAAGGTCTCGAACATTATCTGTAGGGAGAAATGGGCCACGTCACATTCGGGAAGCCACCAGGGGCAGGCAGTCAGGCCAGACCAAGGACATGCAGAGAGTGCAAGGAACACAGGTAAGTGTGCTGGGGACCCCAGGATGGGGGTTCACTTTAGACCTACTGTGCACCTACTGAATACACACTCCAAGATCACTTTACATCAGCCTCATTGGCTTTGTCACACAAGCCAGTGTTAGTACCTACTACACCCACAGCAGTTTTTACTTTAAACACCTAGCCAGAAAAGCAAAACACGAGAAAAAGATTCCACCTGGAAAAAAACAAATAGAACCTGCAGAATTCCAAAGGAGACTCAGGTCAAAGAAGAAAGCCCTAGAAGAATGGCAGAAGAAAGAACAAGTGAGAAAGGGCGTGGCACGGAAGGGACAGAAGAGGAATGGGGTAGCTGACCAGGAAAGCCTACAGGCAACTAACCTGGGTCATCTTCTCACGATTGGCCTTGGGGTTCAGGGGGGCCTCAGTGAGCAGGACAGGGTGCTCCTCGGGGGCCACACGCAGCTCATTGTAAAAGGTGTGATGCCAGATCTTCTCCATATCGTCCCAGTTGGTGACAATGCCGTGCTCGATGGGGTACTTCAGGGTCAGGATGCCTCTCTTGCTCTGGGCCTCATCACCCACGTAGGAGTCCTTCTGGCCCATGCCCACCATCACACCCTGCAGAAAGAGGCGCAAGGTGCCCTCAGCGTGGGAAAAATCCCACAGACCCCCACCCAGAAAGCCAAAGGACTCCCATGTGCAGGAGCTGGGCCTCGTCCTCCACCTGCTCCAAGAAGGGGACCCACCCAACCAATCAGACGCGAGGTTGGCGCCCTACCTGATGCCGGGGACGACCTACGATGGAGGGGAAGACGGCCCTGGGGGCATCGTCACCCGCGAAACCGGCTTTGCACATGCCGGAGCCGTTGTCGACCACGAGCGCAGCGATATCGTCATCCATGGCGAGCTACGGGGAGAGCAGGGCCACCTTGAGCCTGGGTCGGGTGGGGCCGCCCCCGCCCTGCCCACTTCCGGCGCGCCACGCCTTCGAACCGCCAGGGGGCGCCGGCGCGCGCTCACATTGGGGACAAAGGAAGCCAGGCCGGCCGCAGTATTACCATAAAAGGCAAACGCTGGTTAGAGGCGGCCCCGCGGCGCGCGGCAGGAAGCCAGGCCCTCGGCCCCGCCCCAGCCCCGTTCAAAAAGGAGCAGGCCGGGCGCGCGGAGGCCACACCCACGGGAGCCGACGAGGCGGCTGAGTGTGCGCAGGCGCAAACGCGCCGCGGCAACCCCACCCCT